CACACACACACACACACACACACACAGACACACACGAACGCGCGCGTGCACACATGCACACGCACACGCAGTGACCCATAACCCACTCCGGAATATAGAACAGCTACGCACATCGCCACGTGGCAGGAAAGGAGGAGGAGCGACAAAAAGCTGAGGGCGGAGAGAGAAACTGCCAAGGAGACGGGTACAGGACAGGGGAACGCGATATCGGCCGATCGGTCTAGAGAAAGGAGAGCAGGAACTGCGAGGAAAATGGGAGAGAGGTGGAAGGGAGGGGGTGGAGGAGAGAGATAGATGGGAGGAAGGTGGCTTGGGAGGAGGTGCAGCGAAGGAGGTGGAGACGGAAGTGGAGAGGGAGGAGGTGGAGCAGAAGGAAGCGGCGCGGAAGGAGCGATCTCCGGGCAAGACGATACAAAAGGCCAACCGACTGGCCTTCACCTTCTTCGCCTGCACGTCCTGGTCGTCTCTGCCTCCACCTCCGCGTCGTGGATAAGACGAGATCCCATCGCCGCATAAGGACAGGGCAAAGAGGGAAAGGACGCAAAAAAGAAGAAACAGATAACCACTGGGCTGGCCGATTGACAATCACAAAGTTTAACCAAATCGCTCTTTCACTCGCTGCATTTTATCGTCTCGTTTTGTCTTCATCTCCTTCCCCTCGTTACCGTGTTTCCCTCTTCTCGTGCCTCATCGACTTCCCCTCCTTCCCTTCCTCCATCAGCTCCCAATCTCATCCCTATCCCATGTAATTTAGGATCGACAGCACGTCAGGGAGGAGTTAACATCATGATCTTCGTTATGGTCTTTCTGACGTCCGATTCCCACTCAAAGGCACACTGTATGCCTTACGCTAGGAAAAGATTACAGCAGAACATGGTAGCGAATGGTCCATGGCTTTCAAGTCCACCGCTCGCTCCCCCCTCTCCGTCCACTTCTCTCTCTCTCTCTCTCTCTCTCTCTCTCTCTCTCTCTCTCTCTCTCTCTCTCTCTCTCTTTTCCTGACGTCCAATTCCCACTCAAAGGCACACTGTATGCCTTACGCCAGGAAAATATTACAGGAGAACGTGGCGGCGAATGGCCCATGGCTCTCAAGTCGACCACTCGCTCTCCCCCACCCTCTGTCCACTCTCTCTCTCTCTCTCTCTCTCTCTCTCTCTCTCTCTCTCTCTCTCTCTCTCTCTCTCTCTCTCTCTCTCTCTCTCTC